AGCCATTAATCCCAGCACTTGGGGAACTCTGTGAGTTCAAGGCCAGCCTGGTCTGCAGAGTAAGTTCCTGGAATAGCCAGAGGCAGGACTCATAGTGTCATCCACTTCTTCCTAAAAAATTGTTATCTTGTACCCATCAGCTGTGCTATGTGTTATTCAGAAACGGTATAAACTTAGTTTACAAACTTTTGGAATGTTACCTGATAAGGTTATTACACCATATACCCAGGCAAAAATAACTTGGTTGCAAAATTTTGCTAAAGATTGGACCTTGTTTTCATGCACCAATCCCTGCAAGCTCGATAATCATTATCCTTCTGATAAGTTGGTCACCTTTTCCAAAAATCATCCGGTATGTTTCCCCAAAGTTATTTCTTTGCAGCCTCTGGCAGGGGCACGAAATGTGTTTACTGATGGATCTTCCATGGGGAGAGCTGTGGTAACCTCCCCTCCTGATTTTGATATCCAGCCTGTTAATACTAACTCTGCTCAGGTGGCTGAATTGGTTGTTGTCCAGATGGCCTTACAGAAATATGCTGATATTCCATTTAACCTTTTTACTGACAGTCAGTATATAAACAAAATTCTTGCACCGTTGGAAACTGCAGCTTATATTGCCTCTGTATCTCGAGTCCAGATGCAGTTATTGGCTATTCAAACTTTGCTTTGGACCTGATCTGTTCCCATTTACGTAGGGCATTTGTGGGCTCATACTGATCTCCCTGGTCCTTTGAGTGAAGGGAATGCATTGGCTGATCAGCTTACTCGCCAAATTTATGCAATGAGTCAGGAATCTTATGAAGCTACAAAATAAAGCTCATAATCGTTTTCATCTCAATGCTGGGTCTTTAAGGTTTCATTTTAAGATATCTCGAGAGCAAGCCACTGATATTGTTAAAAAGTGCTCTCTGTGTACAGAACTTTTAACTGTTTCCCATTTGGGAGTTAATCCTCGTGGGCTTGCTCCTAATCATTAATGGCAAATGGATGTCACCTATGTTCCTTCTTTTGGGTGCATGCAATATGTTCACGTAACTGTGGATACATATCCTCATCTTATTTTTGCCTCAGCTCATACAGGAGAAAAATTACGAGATGTTAGAAGTCATTGTCTCCAGGCTTTTGCCTACATGGGAGTTCCAAAAACTGTAAAAACTGATAATGGGCCAGCCTACACCAGCACTGGCTTTGCTAAATTTTGCTCTGAGTTCTCTATTTCTCATAAAACGGGAATACCTTATAATCCTCAAGGACAAACTATACTGGAGCGAGTGCATCGTAAGCTCAAAGCCTATTTGCATAAAACAAAAAAGGGGGAATATGGTTCCACCCCCAGAGACCATTTGTCTTTTATTTTATACATTTTAAATTTTTTGACTGTTGATGCTCAATCTCATACCGCTGCTGACCGGCACTGGCGGCCAGATTCTTCCAGGATGCCTCATGTCAAATGGAAGAATCTAGCAGATGGCATCTGGTATGGTCCAGATCCTGTACTGGTGTGGGGAAGAGGGGCTGTTTGTGCTTTCCCACAGGATGCTGACAATCCAATATGGGTACCTGAGCGGCTGATGTGGATTTTCCTGTCCAGAAGCCTGAAGACAGGACAGACTCAAGAGATCAAGAAGATTCTGGCTTGTCAACTGAAGAGTTGCGGGATTCCTGAGGAGCTGGCTGTGGTGGTCCAAGTGCCAAGGATTGTTCCTCTACCTTTCAACCCATCCCAAGATAATGCAGCCATTGCTGTGGCTGCCAGAGCAGCTGGATTTTTCATTAGTCAGTCAGTTGCTTCTGCTAGCACAATGGATACCTTCTCAGGGCAGGTTGCAAATGCCTTGGCCATTCAAATTTATCTAAATTTACAAATGAATATTGCAGTTAATTTTGCTATTGGTTGTGGTTAAAGACCACTGCTAGATATTACAGTAAAAGTCTTATTGCTGTTATACATGGACCCTGGAGTGCACCAATTTACAAATTGGCTCTTGAGATTATATTAGTTAGCTATACCAGGGTTCCTTTCACCAGTGCTGAGACCTTACTTAAATGGCTCCAATTTGGGCAGACTTATTAAGGATTGAGCACACACAGTTTCCTTAGGAGTGCTTATATATGCTGGAGCATCATCTTCATGGTTTCATCATGCCAGAGCCAAAGGCAAGCTCAGGTCAATGTTGCCATGTGGCGAGTCCTCTTAGCTACTGCCCCAGAGAATCTTTCAGCACAAATCTGGCTGAACTCGGTGATGGATGACTAGTGAGCCAATGATGGGAAAGGTTTTTGGGGGGCTGCCCCAACCTAAGACAGGAAATGTGTTTTGACCTGGATGCTTTCCCATGATGGGTAAGGGGTATTGCCTGACATCCAATGCCACCCAAGACAGGCCTAGTCATAATTTATATAAAAGGGGGACCTGTAGGGCCCAGGTCTACTCTTGTTCCTGGGGTGCAAGGACAGTTTCTGGTCAGCTGACAAAGCATTCTGTTTGTTCCTGTGCTTCCCCTGCCCCACCTGGTGATTAGCTGTAGGGCATTGACTCCATTGTTGGTATGGTAATTTCCCACCTGCCTGGGCAGAGGTCCTTGTGCAGCAGTTACCGACTTGCATACAGTACAGTGGTGTGCAAACTGTACTGAGGGTGTAACACAAAATCGGGTGTTACAGTGGTACATTTACACAAAGAAGCACTACACAGCAGGAAAAAAAAATAATGACATCTTGAAATTTGCAGGCAAATGGATGGATCTAGAAAATATCATATTGAGTGAGGTAACTCAGACCCAGAAAGACAAATAATACATGTACTCACTCATAAGTGGCTTTTAGACATAAAGTCAAGAAACAGCCTACAATTCAGAATCCCAGAGAACCTAGACAACAATGAGAACCCTAAGAAAGATATACGTGGATCTAATCTACATGGAAAGTAGAAAAAGACAAGATCTCCTGAGTAAATTGGGAGCATGGCGATCATGGGAGAGGGTTGAAAGGGAGGGGAGAGGAAGGGAGGGAAGAAGAGAAAAATGTATAGCTCAATAAAATCAATAATAAAAAGAGTGTCAGGATGCTTTGGATGAAAGAAAAAAAAAAGAAAGTGGACAAGAAAGGTGAAGTGGTATTAAGTAGGAAGATCTGCAATTTAAAATTTTAAATACAAGATACCATTGATAAACTAACAGCTGAATAGAAACCTAAATAAAGAAACAAGGGCTGGGTATGCAGCATGCATAAGGCCCTGTGTTTAATCTTCAGCACTATATATACCATGCACAGTGGCACACATATGCAATCCAAGTACTCAGGAGTTGGAAACAGGATGACCAGATACTCATTCCTAGTCCCCCAGAATTTGAGGCCGGCCTGGATACTTAAGACCCTATCAAAAATAACAAGAAACGTGGCTGAAGAGATGGCTCAGAGTTTCAGAATACATACTGCTCTTACAGTGGACTCATTTGGTTCCAGACACCCGCGTCAGGCAATTCACAACCTGCAAATAACTTAGTCTTAGGGGATCTGAAGCCCTCTTCTGGATTCCTCAGCACCTGCATGTACATGTTCAGATATACACATAGGTACACACTTACACACATAATTTCAAAAGATCATTTTTAAAAATAAAACAGTGTATTTTCAATTTAAAGGGAATGACTGACTGACAAGTGAGAAACCCCAGAGACAGAAATGCTCCTCAGAGGCTGGAACAAAGACACCATTAAGAAGAAAGTAATGTTAAGATGAAATGGGGAAAGTGAATGGCCTTCCCAGTCCCAACAAGAGGCTGTTAACATGGAAAACCAAAAGAAAGTACAGAGCAGAGAAGTGACACAATCTGACTTCTAATGTAATAGGACCACATTCACCACTGTGTTAAGAATAAACCATGAGGGAGGCAAGGCAGAGACAGGGAAGGATCTAGAAATCAATGGAATAACTAAGGAAAACAAATTCTTTGCTTAGATCATGGTAACAGCAAGGGGGAAATAGTGAGACTGTCAATATGTTAAAAAGGGAAGCAGATAGAAATCACTTATAGACTGGCTGCAGGTACAGGCTAACTACCAATAACTGAAAAAATGGAACTCTAGTTCATTAAATTAGGAAAAGTGAGCTTAGGTACTTGAAAAGGTATAGCTTAAGAAAATGAGTAAGAAAGCTGGGTGTAGTGGCATACCCCTTTAATCCGAAGAAGCAGGTAGATCTCTTGGGGTTCAAGGTCAGCCTGATCTACGGTGTAAGTTCCAGGACAGCCAGGGTGGTAAGTAGAGACACCTTGTCTCAAAAAACTACAAAGAGGAGAGCAGGGGGGGGGGGGGGAGGAAGGAAGGAAAATAGGAAGGAAGGAAGGAAGGAAGGAAGGAAGGAAAGAACAAGGATAAGAGCTATATATAGTGACACATGCCTATAACGCCAGCTCTTAGGAAGACTAAGACAGGAGGATGATAAGTCTGAATCTAGACTGTGCTACATTAATAAGGCCTTGAAGATCATGCTTCAAGAAAAAAAATACATGGTGGAACAAGCAAAAGAAATATGAGAAACAGTCACCAAGAAATAAGGAAAATTAACAAAGCAAAGTACCCCAAAAGTGAAATCAGAAAAGGGTTTCAAGGAGAAGGTATAACTGACTACAGCAAACACTGCTGGGATGTCAAGGAAGACAACTTTGTCAGAGTTAACTGATGGAGTTAGCAACACAGAAACTACTGCTGGTATTGAAGGGATCATATACAGAGAAAACTATTCCCCAAGTCTCAATTTCTTATCTGTGATATGGATAATAAAAGTAAATAACTCACATATTTGTGATAAATTAAGTAACACCAAGAATGGAAAGAAATGGCTTTCCCTTGGGACTGATAGGCAGAACAAAATTCTTAAATGTCATTATAAAATTAAGGTGCTTCTTTTTCTTTTCTTTTCTTTTTTTTTTTTTTTTTTTTTTTTTAGAGAAACGTTGTTGTTTAATGGTAAAGCTCAGCACACTCCATCACCAGGACCAGCATGGAGTCGAAGCAGCAGGGACGGCTGGGTGGCCCCATGGAGCCTCACATGGCGAAGAGGATGAGGAAGGCGACCATCAAACAGAAGAGCCCCATGGCCTCAGACAGGGCAAAGCCCAGAATGGCAGAGGAGAAGAGCTGTTGCTTGAGAGACGGGTTCCTGGCATAGCCAATAATCAAGCTACCAAACACTGTTCCAATGCCAGCCCCGGATCCAGCCACACCAACAGTGGCAGCCCCAGCACCAATAAACTTGGCAGCTGTGTCAATGTCCCGGGAAACAACACTGGTCTGGAATTCCCGTCTGGCCACCTGGAGAGGGGAGCTGCTGCAGGAAGGCTGTTTAACCTGTTTAGATGCCTCCTCTGGTCTACTCAAGAGGGAGGCAGACACAGGCCTGATTAGACCCCTGGTACAGGAGCGGATCAGAACTGGAGTAACGAGCAGTACCTTGGTGGTCTGCATTTTTCAATCTGCACTCCCACTCCCCTGCAGCCCCTGCTCGGCCCACGGCACTCTCGCTCCGGTGCTTCTTTTTCATTACATGATTTTTAAAAAGAGGTATCATTAGATCAGCAAATTAAAATTCTTACCTCAATAAACGTTGAAGAGGTAGTCTGTTTTTTCTGAGACTTTTCTTCTTTCTCACAAGATTCTTTGATAGACATCTTGAGAAACTAAAAGAAACATGCAAAACATATTTTTTTTTCTCCACAATAAAAAGTTTATCACAAGCCACTCTTCTCTTAGTTAAATAAGACTCGAGTTTTACAAAACAATTTTCATTTTCTTGCCAAATCCAGCACAGCAAAAGCTAAAACTTGGGGGTTTCTGGGAAAGATCAGTGACCAAAGAGATTCACAGGGACTCTCTGGGTTTCTTTCATTGAAGAAAGCAGAACTTTTATTTTACTGGGAGTGCCAGGCTTAGATAGAGTTTTAGAGATACAGGCTCAAAGACATCTCAAGGCACCAAAGGGTACAACTAAAGGCATTTTCCTTCTGGCTATTAGATGACCCAGAAGTTTTCCAAAGACTTGGTAAAGCCGCGGGAAGGATTCTGTATTACAGATTGCTGTTGACTCTAGGTATGCCCTTTCAAGGAATTTCTAAATACTCTCAAGATGTAGTTGTTTGCCCTCAGTGTCTTTTCTTATATTCTCTTGCCTAAAGGTCTGCTCCTTCAGCTTCATCAATCAACTTTTCAGGAATGGTTCTCAAGACAAACCTTTGAAACTCTGCCTTTTACCATAAGCATCAGATTAGCATTTTGACTGATTATTTTGCCCTACCTACACCTGAAAACATATTAACCATAATTCTGCATTTCTCAACACTATGTGATATTTCAAACAAATGGCATACGTTTTTCTAAGCTCCAGTTTCATCTTATGCAAATAGAAACAACTTATCTCTGAACATTTTTGTTTTTGTTTTCATTTTGTTTTTAGAGACACGGTTTCTCTGTATGGATCTGGCTGTCCTAGAACTAACTTATAGACCAGCCTGGCCTCAAACTCAGTGATCCAGCAGCCTCTGCCTCCTGAGTGCATGGATTAAGGTTGTGCACCACCACATCTAACCCTAGAACATTTTTTAAGAAGCCAAAGAGTACAGTAGATATAAAAATTACTTTGACATTGGTGAGATGGCACAATGGACAAAGTCCTTTCTGCACAAGTCTGATGACCTGAGTTTCATCTCCCAACCCCACAGTAGGAGAGAAGTGATTCCTAAAAGTTGTCCTATCACTTCACACACACACTGTGACAAGCACCCATACTTAAGCACACACAATAATAAAATTTTTTAACTACTTTGCACAGTTATATATAGTAGAATCTAAATAAAAATCTATGTGGTTGGCTTTCTATTAGACCTAGAGTTCCTTGAAAAGTGTGCTGCATAAAAAACTTGGAAGGGAAATAGGCTTAATAGATACAATGTGCCTATAATCTCAGCATTTTGGAAGCTATAGCAGGAGGATTGCTCCAAGTCCTAGGCCAGATGGGTCTACATATTAAGTTCTTCAGGGTAAGACTCTATCTAAAAGAACAAAGCAAAAACTGGAGAAATATTCAAGAATGACTAAGTAAATGAATGAGTGAATTCATTCTCCTTAATGTATCAACTTTTTTATTCTGAGTTATTTCCAACTCTTTCCTAAACCACAGATTCTCTGTTCATTTCCTAACCCAGTTTCACTTTTTCAGTCTCACTTTAGACCAAGTCAATACCATTAGCCAATGACAGAGAGAGAGAGAGAGAGAACGAGAACAAAGCAACAGAAAAAAAAATGTGTTAAGACAAGCATAGCCATACCTTATGGTCATAAACAGTCTCAAGCTTGTGGGCACTGGTAGTGCAGAGAAGCATCTTGGGGTGGGATATGGTGGTCAAAGATTGGACAAATCACCAAGTCTGTGAGGGCAGGACAGAATGAAAGTGAAGCCTGAAGAACAGTTAATAGGTGGCGATGGCAATATGAATATAACAAAGACTATAAGCCAAGTAATCCAATTATTCCTGGTTAGTCATAAATCAAATAGGTAAAGGTGTATAAAATTAGATCTCCCAGCATTAGGGAGGCAGTGGCAGGCTACACAGATAACAAAAAACCAAACCAAATAAAATAATATCTAATTCCTGGCTGGCATACCCTGCCCCAAACTCACCAGTTTCCTCTGCACACGTCTCTGGTTCCTACATAACTCAGCCAATTTGGCTCTGCCAGTCTTTTGGCCCAGGCATCTCTCTTGGTTGGTGGCTCCTCTCCCCTCCCCTCTCTCCTCACACATCCTGGCTCAGAGTCATAGTCATTCTAGACTCTCCCAGATGTCTCTGTCTCTGCCTATGTTTTCCCTCATATATGTACAATAAACCTTTTCCACCACTGTACCTAGAAGCAGTCATTTCCTCCCCCTCTTTTTCTTTCTTTTTTTTAAAAAATGTCTAATGAACTTGAATAAAAGAAAAATACCGGTAGGTAATGAAGTGGGGAAGAGACTTAAAAAATTAACACATGAACAGTTAACAAACTTCTAAGAACAATCTCCTAAGTATCAAAAATGTTTGCCTTCAAGGATAGTCTATGGTAACAGTTCAATTCATGCTTTTTCTCTCTTGTCTAAAGAATTTAATTCCAGTAGCATGGACGATACAATAAAAAAAAGAAAAAGAAAAAGAAGAACAACAAAAAACTCGCGAGCCTGGCCTGGTGGCCCATGATATCTGTAGTCTCAGCTACTTAAAGGCTGAGGCAGGAGGCCAGACTGAGTCCAGGAATTCTAAGTCAGCATGGATTGTTTCTTTCTTTTTTCTTTTTTCTTTTTGGTTTTTCGAGACAGGGTTTCTCTGTGGTTTTGGAGCTTGTCCTGGAACTAGTTCTGTAGACCAGGCTGGTCTCAGACTCATAGAGATCAGCCTGCCTCTGCCTCCTGAGTGCTGGGATTAAAGGCGTGCACCACCATTGCACGCCTTTTTTCTTTTTTCTTTAATATTTATTTATTATGTATACAATATTCTGTCTCTGTGTATGCCTGAAGGCCAGAAGAGGGCACCAGACCTCACTACAGATGGTTGTGAGCCACCATGTGGTTGCTGGGAATTGAACTCAGGACCTTTGGACGAGCAGGCAATGCTCTTAACTGCTGAGCCATCTCTCCAGCCCTGCATTGTTTCTTAATATAAGACACTGCTTACAGAGTATGAGGCTGCCTTTGACATTTTTGCTGATCCACCTCAGTTTGATGTTGTTGCTTTGGATACATTAATATTACCTGAAACTTCTCTTCCAATGAGATAGTAGAAAAAAAGCACCAGACAATGCACTATCCAAGGAAAAGCATCTGTCACAGTTAGGACTTCTACTGAAGAAATAAAGATGATGACTAAACACAAGCTGGGAAGGAAAGGGTTTATACTTCCATATCACACAGTCCACCAATAAAGGAAGTCAGGGCAGGACAAGGGAGGCACGAGCTTATGCAGAAGCTATGAAGGAGTGTTGCTTACTGGCTAGTTCAGTCGGCTTCCTCATACACTCCAGGACCTCCTGGCCAGAAGTGATAGCTTTGCCCTCCCACATCAACTACTAATTTAAAAAGTACCCTAACCCGGTACTCAACTTCATTTGGAAAAAAAAAAAAAAAAGCAAAACAATCCTGTACAATAAAAGAACTTCTGGAGGCATCACAATCCCTGACTTCAAACTCTACTACAGAGCTACAGTACTGAAAACAGACTGGTCTTGGCATAAGAACAGAGAGGAGGACCAATGGAACCGAATAGAAAACCCGTGTATCAATCTACACATCTTAGAACACCTGATCTTTGATAAAGAAGCAAAAAATATCAAATGGGGAAAAAAAGTATATTTAACAATGCCAGTGGTGCTGGCATAACTGGATATCAACATGTAGAAGAATGAAAATAGACCCATACCTATCATCATGCACAAAAATCAAGTACAAATGGATCAAAGGCCTCACCATAAAACCAGCCACACTGAAGCTTATAGAAGAGAAAGTGGGAAGTACACTTGAATGCATTGGCACAGGGAACCACTTCCTAAATATAATCCCAGCAACACAGACACTGAGAGAAACAATTAATAAATGGGACCTCCTGAAACTGAAAAGCTTCTGTAAAGCAAAGGACATGGTCAACAAGACAAAACGACAGCATACAAAATGGGAAAAGATCTTCACTAACCCCACACATCAGAGGTCTGATCTCCAAAATATACAAAGAACTCAAGAAATTAGACACCAAAAGATCACATAATCCAATAAAAAAAATGGAATACAGACCTAAACAGAGAACTCTCAACAGTGGAATCTAAAATGGCTGAAAGACACTTAAGGAAATGTTCAACATCCTTAGTCATCAGAGAAATGCAAGTCAAAACAACTCTGAGATTCCATCTTACACCTTTAAGAATGGCCAAGATCAAAAACACTGATGACAAGTTATGCTGGAGAGGTTGTGGGGAAAAGGGAACACTTCTGCATTGCTGGTGGGAATGCAAGCTGGTACAGCCCCTTTGGATGTCAGTGTGGCGATTTCTCAGAAAATTAGGAAACAGCCTTCCTCAAGACCCAGCAATACCACTTTTGGGTATATATCCAAAGGATACTCAATCGTGCCACAAGGACATGTGCTCAATTATCTTCATGGCAGCTTTATTTGTTTCCAGAACCTGGAAACAAAGTAAATGCCCCTCAATTGAAGAAAGGATAAGAAAAATGTGGTATATTTACACAATGGAGTACTACACAGCAGGAAAAAAACCGACATCTTGAATTTTGCAGGAAAATTGATGAAGCTAGAAAACATTATTTTGAGTGAGGTAATCCAGACACAGAAAGACAATTATCACATATGTGGTTTTTAAACACAAAGCAAAGAAAGCCAGCCTACAAACCACAATCCCAGAGAACTTAGATAACAATGTGGACACTAAGAGAGATTTACATAGAGAAAATCTACAAGGGAAGTAGAAAGTAGAAAAAGACAAG